ATATTTCTTAAATATATACATGTATGTGTGTGTGTGTGTGTGTGTGTATTTATATATACATATAAATATACACCGTACACACACATATATTATCTAATCAAAAACTTTTATTTTGGATGCGATTAATCGCGATTAATCGTTTGACAGCACTAGATTCCTTTTTTTTTTTTTAAAGGTGAAATGTCAAAACAGGGTTGAACAGAAAAGTTCTGTATTTTAGGGGGAAAAAACTCTATGTAGACTGATCTTAGCATGATCTTTTGATTGACTAAAAGCTAAATTTAGGTAGAATGTAAAAAAAAAAATGATGAGGACACGTTTCATTTTTTAAATTGTGTATGTTTACATTTTAATAGACATTCTTGAAAATGATCTTATGTAATCAGTACTTTTTTAAGCTTCACAGAAGGATTTAGAAGACAATTTGTGCTTCTACTGTATATTAATTAAGGAAATCAACTTCACTGTAGATACCAGGAAGGACTTAAGAGGTCTAAAGAACTTCAAGAGCTGAAGGAGGAGGAAGAGAAAGCGGAAGAGAAGCCGAAGGACTCTGAGGAGGAAGCAAGAGGAAATACTGATAAAGACAGGAAGACTAATAGGTAACTGACTTCAAAGTGTTTGCCCGTCAAATCATTGTCAATAAATCAGTAGTCATATTGTTTTTGTCCTATTGCAGCAGGTTCGAGGAGGCATTAGAGGTCTTTGACCGGATATTCCCAAAATTCTTCCGAGGAAATCGAGTGCTCTGGATCGTCCTCACTCTGTTTTTCGCTTCATTCATACTTGTTAATGTCATAAGCTTCTTCAGTAACCGCTACAGTGAGAGCGGAGACACGTCTGCAGAGAAGTCCGCCGTCCCAGGCAAGACGTTTTTTGGACTGAATGTAGGGTCGAAGACTCCTGCCCCAGAATGACATTATTTCCTTCCATCACGGAGAGACAGATCAAGGGAATTCTGCTGGCAATTTCCTTACCAAACACAGCTCATATTGTTTCTACCAGTCTTTCACACTGCATTTAGAAAATAGCAGAACTACTTGTTATTGTTTAGGGACCAAGTGTAATTAGATGAGCAATCAGATTTGCTTTGTAAACTAAATTGATAAGTTATAATACTTGAGGTTGGGATTTCTTGAAATCCGTTTTCTTAAGACTGTCACGTTTGATATATGATTATACCACTCGAACCTTATGATTAAACTTCTCAGGTTTTGTGAAATATATATTTGAAATATTAGGTACAATATTTAATACAGAATTTGGTACAGTATGTTTTAAAGTCTTTGCGATTGTTTATGTTGTTTATTTGAGTTGACATTCCAAGGTAGATCCTAAAGTGCAATATTTTGCGACTGGTAGTTGAGTTTAATAGTACAGAATTTTTCACAATTTTCAAGAGCACTTTTAACTAGCATGAGAGAGTTCATATTTGCACATGTGTGCTTGTGTTTACTGTTGTGCCACTTCACCTTGTAATAAAGGTGTTTGAAAATCACACGTGGTTGTTTCTAGAGTACATGTGCTATTCAATGCGTGGTAGAAATTTAAGCCTATTTTTTTAGGACAATTAAAGTTCATGACTTTGTCATAATGATGACTTTTATGCCATAATAATAAGAATTACTTCTTATGTCCTAATGACAACTTAGTATCTCATAATTTCAACATCATCATTTTTATGTAATAATTTTACCAAAGCATTTTTTTCTTATGTGGTGGAAATTGGCTTTCATAATGATCAGTTTATCTTATTGTGTTTGACACTTTATGCCATAATTTCAGCTTTTTTTCTTTTTTACTTTTTATTTCATAATTATGGAAAATAGGCTTCCATGGTGATTAGTTTATCTCATAATTGTAACTTTTTTTTACTTTATCAAAATTGTTGACTTATGTTATAATTATGGCTTTTTATCTAATAATTTTGACCTATGTCATAATTAAGACTTAGTATTTCATAATTGACTTTTTATCTCATTTTCAATGTATGTTCAATTTGACTTTTATCTCATTTAACTTTGTCATTTTTTAGGACAATCAAGATTTTTGGCATTACACCATTATTTTTAACTGCATTTCCCCTGCAAATTCTCACATTTCTGTGATAAAGAGTTAAGTGCAACAAATGGTACTATGATGTCATATGTATATTTAAATAATAAAAAAAATTGCATTAAAAGGTCCTTGAAAGATTCTTTTCATATTATGCTAATGATAATTAATTATCATTAAAATAATGTCAATAATTGCCATTTAAATGTCATGGTGCAAAAAAATAATTATTTTCATACATATATATATATATATATATATATATATAGTGTGTTATTTTCTCTTTATTTGGACAAAAGGTTCTTGACAGGTTTCATATATTTCAAAGTATCGTTAGCACAATCTTCCACTTGACACAGTATTAACCAATATTACTCTAATAAAATATGTACTTTTCAGAGAAATTATTTGCTCATTTTTTCCAAGTCACTTCCTGGCAGTGTGATGATGTTGTACAAGTGTGTGTGTGTGTGTGTGTGTGTGCGTGTGTGCGTGTGTGTTGGAGAGATGTTTTGCCGGAAGTTGGATAGAGCTGTGTCTGCGTTCTATCACAGGAAGTTAGATGGACATCAGCCCGTTAATAAGCAAGCAGAAGGGAACAGGAGGAAATTGTCCATTTAAAAAAGCAAAGCCGAACAAATAAGGCAGAAGATCTGAGCTCGTCGTCTATCTAGTGGCTCCCTTCATAAACAGCAGAGAGTCCATTCAAAGTTACTTGATAGTGATCATAGACTTGCTTTTACTACAAACCCCCTTCTGCAAATCGATTAATGTCATATATAAAGTCACACAAAATACTACAGACTATATTTATATATTTTGTCACTTAACCAAAAATCATATTTAATTGGTTATGTCATAGAAATTCAAAGAAATTATGTAATATTACTGAATAAGTCTGACTATTGGGTAATACCAAAACAAATAACAGGTTATACAGATACAACTTTTACATATCTAAATGAATATTCACAATATTCACAAATGTTTGCTTAATTCCTCACCATATGTCAATATAATCCCTCATAGACAGCATTGTGATTGCTCAATTGAGACATGTGCTTGTCTCCAAAAGACCCCAGTAATTTCACATACATCTCCTCTAGTGTTTAGAAGAAATCTCAACAATGTCTCACAATATAACAGTATATCAGAGTATATCAGTTAGAAGTCTCATCAATTTCTTCCAAGATCAAATGATCTGAGCTGCTATTCACAGATATTTTATGAACTCTTGCTATTTATGCAAGCCTATTTCCACCATGTGATCTGAAATATCTTTGATAAACATATCATATACAAATATAATAAAATTATGAGATAAGAATTCATAATTATGACATAAAAGTGACATTTTTTGATGACATCTCTTATCTATGGACTTTTTAATTTTTTTCTCATAATCACAACATTTGATCTCATAATTGTAACTTTTATCTTATGATTTAATATCTAATAATTTCACTTTTTATGTCATAATTTTGATTGTATCTCATAGTTATGGCTTGGTACCTCATAATTTCGACTGCTTATGTCATAACTATGACTTTTTTCCTTATGTAATCAAAATGTGTTTCCATGGTGATCAATTTATCTCAGAATTTTATGACTTTTTATCTCATAATTTTGACAGTTTATGTCATCATGATAATTTACCAAAGCATGATTTTTTTTTCTTATGTGGTGGAAATGGGTTTCCATAGTGATCAGTTTATCTTATAATTTGGAATTTGTATGTCATAATTTACTTTTTGTATCTCATAATTTAGAATTTTATGTCATAATTATAACTTTTTTCTTATGTGGTGGAAATGGGCTTCCATAGTGATCAGTTTATCTCATAATTTGGAATTTGTATGTCATAATTTACTTTTTGTATCTCATCATTTTTCATAATTTTAATAATTTTGACTTTTATATCATAATTATAACTTTTTTCTTATGTGGTGGAAATGGGCTTCCATAGTGATCAGTTTATCTCATAATTTGGAATTTGTATGTCATAATTTACTTTTTGTATCTCATAATTTAGAATTTTATGTCATAATTATAACTTTTTTCTTATGTGGTGGAAATGGGCTTCCATAGTGATCAGTTTATCTCATAATTTGGAATTTGTATGTCATAATTTACTTTTTGTATCTCATCATTTTTCATAATTTTAATAATTTTGACTTTTATATCATAATTATAACTTTTTTCTTATGTGGTGGAAATGGGATTCCATAGCGATTGGTTGTCTTAGGAAAAACATCTGAGACCAAATTTAAATGAAATGAAAAAATGCCCGGAACATTCCTCTGGCTTCTGGATTTCCTGCCATAGGTTATGGATTTATACTATACTTGCTATAACACAAAGGATGAAAACGTTTGACTGTGCGGTGCAGTGCGTCAGCAGGTCTTCTGTCATCACTGGGTGTTTTCATGGTGAAAACATTCTCACCTTGGCCTGAACCAGACTCCTGAAGAGCACGGTCCCTCATCAGAGATGCCAGCGTGCCTCCTGTTTCCTCTTGGTCATGACACTTTGTACGGGTCATTTATGCAATTACCGCCCCTCTACGCACAGGCCGCACCCCTGGGGAGTTTAGCCTCCCTATAACCTCTCCACTTGGCACTCAGGCACACATCCCCGATCGCACTTTGCTCAGAGTCTCAGAAAGAGCAGACTTCACCGCCATGGCAAGAGTCTGGATGAGGATGTTGAAGATGATGATGCTTTTCAGTGGTTTATTCATGTCTAGCCTAACTTTTGACATCCATTTGGTAAAGGGTAGGTCCTTTATGGGCATTTATTTATCTTAATTATCTGTGGATGTATAGTTTTTTTTCATGAGATATTTGACTGAATATTTGACTGCTTATAAATAATAAAAATGTGACCAAATGTAGACTCACCTTTAACAGTTTGTTATATGTGAACTAAGTATTCTATTTCTTTTTTTCTCTCTCTGATTAACAGTGAACCCTAAACAAACCATCTCTGGTGTGATTGAAGCTTCCATTGGAAATCAATATGCCTTAAATGCATCAGCAGCCAGAGATCTTTGTGAGCATCTAGGTTTGACTATTGCAAGCAAAGCACAAGTAGCAGAGGCCCAGAAACACGGTCTGGAGACATGCAGGTCAAAACAATGTATAATGCTGTATGGACCATTAAATGAATTATTTAAACTGTAAATGAAAAAAAAAAAAGATCAACATTCTTCTTTTTAAATCTCAGGTTCGGGTGGATAGACGAGCAAATAGCTGTTGTTCCCCGAGTTCAGGTCAAATCAAACTGTGGCAGTGGCAAGACTGGGGTTGTCGTGTGGCGTGCAAATCCAAGTACAGAATTTGATGTCTTTTGCTTCAATTTAAGAGGTAAAATATTTTACTTGATAATTTTAGACACCATGGTTATATATCAATGATTGACAATTATGAACACATTCCATAACAACCTCATCTTTTGGTTTTGCATGCTCTCACCTGCTGCATTTTGAGCTCTTAAATGCATTTGCATCAAGATTTGCGTCAAGTAAAGTAAAGTGTGTAATTTTTAAAACCAATTAAAACACAATTAACCATTTTTATATGGATGTTTCGGACCTTTCGTAGGCTGTAATTTTTATTTGATTTATTCATTATTGCTCAGAAATCATTAACATTTTGTAAAGTCACTAGTTATTTCATTGTTAAAAATGTGTATTCTTAAAAATTGGCTTTTAAAAATTTCTAGCGTCTAAGGCCACTGAGTGTGTGACTTTATTTGTACATGTGGTTTCAGTTGATGCATAATTTTAGAACAACTGTATAATTTTTAAAACACAATTAACCATTTTTATATGGATGTTTCGGACCTTTCGTAGGCTGTCATTTTTATTTGATTTATTCATTATTGCTCAGAAATCATTAACATTTTGTAAAGTCACTAGTTATTTCATTGCTAAAAATGTGTATTCTTAAAAATTGGCTTTTAAAAATTTCTAGCGTCTAAGGCCACTGAGTGTGTGACTTTATTTGTACATGTGGTTTCAGTTGATGCATAATTTTAGAACAACTGTATAATTTTAACTGAATTTTGATGCAAACCTAATGATGAATCATTAAGGTTCGTACACAGATTGTACGCACAAATATGTGTGTGGTTAGTTAATGAGTCCCACTGATTGTAAATGAATAGCCAGGTCCTTATTAATACAAACAAACTTTCTGATACATGTTTTCAAGTGAAGTGAAGTGTGGCCAAGTATGGTGACCCATACTCGGAATTTGAGCTCTGCATTTAACCCATCCAAGTGCACACACACAGCAGTGAACACACACACACACACACACACACACGTCAGGCCATCCGGGATTTCAGTATGGTGATAAGTATTACATGGCATTGTGGGTGTATATATGCATAGTTTGTTGTTTTCTTGGGGCGTCTGGCAGAGCATTTGGACCCAGAAGCGGTGAAGCATGATGTCAGGCGTAACAAGCAGATATTCTTAACCACTCCTATCCAACCGTGAATCTGCTATGAGCAAGAGGTGGAGTGGAGGTGCGCCACAATAAAACCCCACCCTTTATTCAATATTCCATTTCACCTGGAAATACATCACAACACTGAAGTCACTTGCAACTTCCGGTTCACGGGTACTTTGATATTGATATTTTTCAAGGTATTGAAGTTAGAAATGACTGTATCATGACCACTAATTCACATACTTTGTCAATAAGATAAAAGTGGGTTTTGTTCAAAGTAGCTATTATCCACATAGATCTTTCATATGAATTAATATTTTTTTAATTAAATATCGCAGACTAAAAAGTAAGTAGTAACTAGTAGTTTTTGAGAGGAGTACTTTGTACTTTTACCTAAGTACTGTTTTGACACCAGTACTTTTACTTGTAATTGAGTATTATTTCAGCAATGTAACAGTACTTGTACTTAAGTACAAATTTCCAGTACTCTTTCCACCACTGGACGGAAGGTGGAACATGATTTCTACTAAGGGGGGCCCCCGAGCAGGGGCGTGTCTACGTGGTGGCCAGGGGTGGCACCGCCCCCCCCCCTGAAATTTGGCTGGCCACCCCAAGTGTCCCCCCTACCAGATGTCTTGCGATAGGCTTGTTTTTAGTAAGTTTCTAACTGCATCTGGCAGTGGCGGATCCTGGCATGTGTAGACAGCTGCCTAGGACCGCTTTCTTCTCTTCTTTATACTTAATTTCAGGCAGTTTTTATAGTGTGATCTTAATGACAATGTCAAGAGCGCATAATGTTACGCGATCCATGTGCGTGAGGACGATTATCTCTCCACTCCCAAGCGGATTTCCTTCACTCACACAAAACTGGACGTGTATACGATGTATTATAACATACATCGTTCCGCAAACACAACCTCCCCCCCCCCCGGCCCTCCTCTTTTGAGCCAGTGCCCCCGACCGCCCCCCCCATTTAAAATGCTCTAACATGCCACTGGTTGGGGGTCCGGTGCCTTGCTCAAGGGTCTCACCTCAGTCATGGTATTGAGGGTGGAAGAGAGTGCTGGTTATTCACTCCCCACACCAACAATTCCTGCCAGACCTGAGACTCGAACCTGCAACCTTCGGGTTACAAGTCCGACACTCTAACCATTAGGCCTCGACTGCCTCCTTTAAGTATTTTTTTTCCAAAAATGTGGGTTATTTGGCAGGAATAAGAAAATAATTCATACTTTTAAGTCGTCACTTAGTTATTCCAATGCTAACATTATATTTTAAAAAATTGGCTTTTTGTAATTTCTAGTTTGTAACACCGCAGAATGTGATTTTTTTTTTTTTACATGCGGTTTCCAACGTGGTTTCAGTTTCAAATTTTAAAGCAAGTTTTTGATCAATTTTAATGCAAACTTAATGGCAAATCATGACGAATTATATACACAGATATTTACGCACAAATATGCGAATGCGTAGTTAGTGAATAAGTCCCATTGATTGCAAATTAATTCCCGATCTATTATATACAGTATCATTCTGTTTAACTCTATCCACATATTATTAATACAAGCCAACTTTCTAATATATTTTTAGTATGTACTCCTTTCCAGGTTTGTGTGTCAACTGGCATCAAATCAACACAAACTGTTAGTGTGCCAAGGAAATAGGAAATTCTGGATGTAACATCATCACAGATTGGTTTCCTATGAGGGCCAGGGATGTGGTAGATGAAAGGAAGTGAGTGGGATGAATTGACAAATGCCTGATCAAGGCAAACGTAACCGTTGAGATTTATTTGATTGTCATGTCTGTTATGTAACAAGCCTGAATCGTTTCTGTTTGCAGATTTTGAGGCGCAAAACCAGGCTTCCATGACTGCTCACCAAACAACAAGAAGAAAGCCAATCACAACACATTCAACTGTTTTTCCCACTGCTCAAGCAGGAGTTCATCTGAGGAAAACCCCATTTTCTAAACTACCTTCTCCATCGTCTTCGCTCAGTTCTCTTTCTACATATGTTCCTCCTTCACTCTCTCACAGTCCATCTGTTTACCACATGGATGATGAAGGGAAGCATTTGCTCATGAGTGGAACCCCAGTTGAAGGTATGATTCTGCTATTCATTATTTGACAGCAGTTATTGTTCAGGTAAACCCCAAATGCTTGTTTATATTTACTGTTTTCTCTTTTCTGATTTGCAGCTGTTCCAGCTGCTTTACTGATCACAGTCACCTTCGCAGTCATGCTTGCTGTATTTCTAGCGATTTACTATTTCAAAACGTAAGTTATGTTCTCCTGTTTAACTTTATCCAGATGCTTTCAAATATTAAAATAAGCTCAGTACCTCAGAGCAAATTTTAATTCAAGTTTTTTTACTCAAAGTTTAAAACCTGAGGATACAGGCGTGTTTTAAACATGTCCACTCATATATGTGACCCTGGACCACAAAACCAGTCTTAAGTGTCAATTTTTCAAAATTGAGATTTATACATAATATTAAAGCTGAATGAATAAGCTTTCCATTGATGCATGGTTTGTTAGGATGGGACAATATTTGGTCGAGATACAACTATGTGAATATCTGGAAACTGAGGGTGCACAAAAAATCTAAATATTGAGAAAATCGCCTTTAAAGTTGTCCAAATGAAGTTCTTAGCAATGCATATTACTAATCAAAAATTAAGTTTTGATATATTTTTACGGTAGGAAATTTACTAAATATCTTCATGGAACATGATCTTTATTTAATATCCTAATGATTTTTGGCATAAAAGAAAAATCTATAATTTTGACCCTTACAATGTTTTTTTGGCTATTGCTACAAATATACCCCAGCGACTTAAGACTGGTTTTGTGCTCCAGGGTCACATATGTTCAGTTAGATCACTAGCCTAATAAAAGCTGTGAATATGCTGTAATTGGAAACCAAATTCTACCCCATACGTGCTTCATCCATCCATAGCAGTATAAAGTCTAAGACGACTGCTATATCAGTTAGTTCAACATAAACAACATAAAAATAAATAAATACACGAGGACCTACAATAATGTACAGTATTTGAAAAATAATGTGTTTTTTGAACATTAAAGCATGTCAACATATTCTGTTACACCAAATACACAAAATAATGATCTTTAAAAAAGCATCATATGACCCCTTTAAGAGAGGTTGATCATTGCTGAAATGTCTCTGCACTACAGGAACAGACCCTGCAGGACGCAGTGTGACAGCGAGCAGCAGAAGGAGTACACTGAGACGGAGGTTTGGGAGCACTGTAGTAAGAAAGACCTGCAGAATCCACAGGAGGAGCATGTGGAGGAGAACGAGGAAGAAAACAACAGCAGCAGTTCTACAGACCAGGACTAACACTTCTCTGTATTTATCGAGACATCATGGGACGGCTGAGAGTTTGAGACTGTAATGAATTTTTGGTTTTGTAATGAACTAATAAATAAAAAAAGACACAGATGTGTGTATTTATATGTAAACTGGCTTCTGATTGTGCATTTTTGATAATTATTTTATTACATTAAATATTTTCTTGATTTTGCTAAATGGACATTTAATTCAAATGGATAGTTCTGGAAATAATTCATAAAGTGTAAGTTTGCTGGTTTATATATTCCATATATCATTCCAAAAAAAATTACTTTTATTCATCAAGGACACATTCAATTTATTAAGATATTGTTTCTATGCTTATGAATGAAGCCTCTTTTGCCCACCAGTGCTGCATTTATTTTATGAAAATACAGCATTTTAATATATTTTAAAATGAAGTTCAAATAAGATTACATGGCAAAGTAGGACATTAATGAAAAGCACACAAAGTACAGAGAGAACTTATTTCCTAAATTACTTTTTACCAACCATAAAAAGAAAAGAAAAAAATTTACTGGGTCAAAGCTGCATTTTGATTAAGTTAGTTCAGTATTAGTTAATTCAAAGAATAAATATGCTGGCCTCCCGATACAGGCACTCCATTAAATAAATGTAACCAACGTTCCACACATTAAAATATTCTCAAAGAAATTAATTCAAACAATGCAATATTTTTTCTCTTTTTACAAGCATTACCTGCTGCATTAGTTAAAACTGCAACCATGTTTGATGTTTTCAGAGTCTCTTGTTCCATTTATTTACATTTTTCTATTACTGACAGGACAGTGGAGAATGGACAGGAAATGATGCCAAAAATATGAGGCTGTATAAACGCCTAAGCTAGGGGGTTTTCTTTGTATGTTATGCATAGCAGCGGTGGAATGTTCCAGACATTTATCTCGGTGTCTGCCTATTTCTGCTGCACAAAAATGTTTTGAGGTTATAGTTCATAAATCTCCACAGGAGGGAGACAGTGCCCATGTAATCTAATGTCAAGCATGCCAAACCCTTTTTGAAACGCCCATTTCAAGTCATTGCATAGGCAGACAATAGTGTTTATGAGAAGGCTGGGTATTAGAAATCTGAGAAGCAGAGCAAGACTAGATAATAAACTACATAACATTTGGGTCCCTGTGCATCCATTTCTACTGTATATAAAAATAGCAATCATGCATATATGGGCACAGAGGGCTTATTGGACAGCTACTGTGACCCAACAACCTCTGACTTTACTGCATCTACGAGGAAGCTGAGTTCATTACACAGTGTCTCGTGTCTGTAGGCCATGCGGATCTGGGCTACATTTGTTCGCCGAATGTCATTCCCCTCTGGTCCGTCTTTCAGGTAACTGACCCCAAGGAAATGCTTTTTCTCCTGGGGAAAATGGCAAAGATGCGTCAGTGTTGTGCCGAATAAATTTTTACATAATGTTATGAACTGAGCATGTGCACTACCTCATGGGAAAGGCCACTCTGCAGGACGCTGTTCCTAGCGATCTCACACACGTCACATGTGCTCAACTTCCACAGTTGGGCTGCAATAGCGTACTCCTCCATTAAAGCCTCCTGCAGTAGTAAAACAATCACAACATTTCTGTATTGAAAAAGCATGTAATTCTACGGTGGTAGTTTTTGGTGTTTGTCAAAAATGTTTTTACACAGGTAGTGGGAGAAAAACACATGGATTCGGACAGCAATAAAATCATTGACTAGCCCCTGCAAATGTTTAAAATACCTTACGTTATTACGAGAAACAGTTACATCCCAATTGGTCTTAAGAATAGTTTTTTTTATTGGTATAATATTTCATGATGAACACTACTGGTCTATATCTGATGAAAATATTTTGTCTAAAGTTTAAATAAACTGTTCCATTAAAAAAGAAATATGGGCAGGCTTTACATACGGTGGCCGAGAGAGCTCAACGTGCTGCAAATGAAAAAATCACATGCAAATTAAGAAAACATCTTCATCAATTTGACAACACACGTGCTGCAAATTCTCACAACACAACCAAATACAGAAACGCGCTGCAAATTTTCACATCACAAATACAGAAACGCGCTGCAAATTCTCACAACACAAACACAGAAACGCGCTGCAAATACAGAAACACGCTGCAAATTCTCGCAACACAAATACAGAAACGCGTTGCAAATACAGAAACGCGCTGCAAAATTCTCACAACACAAACACAGAAACGCGCTGCAAATACAGAATCGCGCTGCAAATTCTCACAACACAAACACAGAAACTCACTGCAAATACAGAAATGCGCTGCAAATTCTCACAACACAAATACAGAAACGCGCTGCAAATACAGAAACGCGCTGCAAATCCTCACAACACAAATACAGAAATATGCTGCAAATACAGAAACGCGCTGCAAATACAGAAACGCGCTGCAAATCCTCACAACACAAATACAGAAATATGCTGCAAATACAGAAACGCGCTGCAAATACAGAAACGCGCTGCAAATCCTCACAACACAAATACAGAAATATGCTGCAAATACAGAAACGCGCTGCAAATACAGAAACGCGCTGCAAATCCTCACAACACAAATACAGAAATATGCTGCAAATACAGAAACGCGCTGCAAATACAGAAACGCGCTGCAAATCCTCACAACACAAATACAGAAATATGCTGCAAATACAGAAACGCGCTGCAAATACAGAAACGCGCTGCAAATCCTCACAACACAAATACAGAAATATGCTGCAAATACAGAAACGCGCTGCAAATACAGAAACGCGCTGCAAATCCTCACAACACAAATACAGAAATATGCTGCAAATACAGAAACGCGCTGCAAATACAGAAACGCGCTGCAAATCCTCACAACACAAATACAGAAATATGCTGCAAATACAGAAACGCGCTGCAAATACAGAAACGCGCTGCAAATCCTCACAACACAAATACAGAAATATGCTGCAAATACAGAAACGCGCTGCAAATACAGAAACGCGCTGCAAATCCTCACAACACAAATACAGAAATATGCTGCAAATACAGAAACGCGCTGCAAATACAGAAACGCGCTGCAAATCCTCACAACACAAATACAGAAATATGCTGCAAATACAGAAACGCGCTGCAAATACAGAAACGCGCTGCAAATCCTCACAACACAAATACAGAAATATGCTGCAAATACAGAAACGCGCTGCAAATACAGAAACGCGCTGCAAATCCTCACAACACAAATACAGAAATATGCTGCAAATACAGAAACGCGCTGCAAATACAGAAACGCGCTGCAAATCCTCACAACACAAATACAGAAATATGCTGCAAATACAGAAACGCGCTGCAAATACAGAAACGCGCTGCAAATTCTCACAACACAAACACAGAAACGCGCTGCAAATACAGAAACGCGCTGCAAATCCTCACAACACAAATACAGAAATATGCTGCAAATACAGAAATGCGCTGCAAATACAGAAACACACTGCAAATTCTCACAACACAAATACAGAAACACGCTGCAAATTCTCACAACACAAACACAGAAACGCGCTGCAAATACAGAAACGTGCTGCAAATTCTCACAACACAAACACAGAAACACGCTGCAAATTCTCACAACACAAATACAGGAACACGCTGCAAATTCTGGCAACACAAACAGAAACACGCTGCAAATACAGAAACGCGCTGCAAATTCTCACAAAACAAACAAATACAGAAACGGGCTGCAAATTCTCACAACAGAAAAAAAGAAACGCGCTTCCCTTAAACATTTCCGATGTGGTCTGTGCATATTTGCAGCGGCGTTTCTGTTTTTGTTTAATTGTTTTGTATTTGCAGCACGTTTCTTTGTTTGTGTTGTTACAAATTGCAGTGCATTTCTGTATTTGGTTGTGTTGTGAGTATTTGCAGCGCGTTTCTGTTTTTGTTTGTTTTGTATTTGCAGCACGTTTCTGTATTTGGTTGTGTTGTGATTATTTGCAGCGCGTGTGCTGTCAAATTGATGGAGATGTTTTTTTCTATTTGCAGCGTGTTGAGCTCTCTCGGCCACCGTATTTACAGGTATAAAATAAATCCATAATTTCAGGGAGTACTTCAAGTAAATGTAGGAAATTGTGGCCCAGCTGTAAGTCTGACCTTGGTGTAGTGGAACTGCATGGGATCATCAGTGGAGAGCGACACACACAGGCCTTTGTGTAGGAACTCTCGCAGAGGGTTCTTGGAGTATTCCAGGAACAGACTGTTGTTACTCAGTGGGGACATGGCAATGGGCACTTGGGCAAGATAATACAGGTACTGCAGCACTGGACTCTGGAAAAAACACACACATGTGTTACATGAAAGCTTGTTCAATTTGATCATAAGATCAAATGCTCTGATCAAGCTCTTTGGCCCGCCTGCTTCCATTTGCATGTTTCTGTGCAGCGTCAGAGGCTCCATTGATTCTAGGCTCATCACTAACACAAGTACATAATCAAATGAAGTGGTAACAAACACATGTCTCATCTGCATTTGCTTCATGAATAGACTTGGGCTGAAGATCTGTACTCTGAATCCATTTTCTTTGCCATCAATGAATGTACAAAATATTTGGTAATTTGACTAATAAGCTCTTAAAATGGATAGTTATGTTTCACGTTGTTAAAATAAAATTGCATTTGACTTTGAACTAAACTTCAAAAGCACACTGCCCAATTTTCCTAATTTTGAACACAATAGTTTGGACTGATCTTCTACTTCTAACCTTTTTCAGGTTTAAGCCATGCGAGATGTTGTGTGCAGTGAGGAAAGCTGAAACCAGGTGGGTGATAGAACCAGCTTCTCCACAGTGTGGACGGAACTGGAAGGTACTAAGACCACGTTCTCTGTGAAAACACACACATATACAAGCTGTAACAACCAACAGAAAAATATAGGCCTCCTTTTGTTGCAGATATAATATCCAAATAACAAGAAATTAGAACAAATGAGAAAAATAAAGTTGCAGTTACAAGAGTGAATATACTATATATTGATAAAGAGACAACATGCACTATGGCTAGCATACAACATCACAGCTGCTATTCTGGGCACTTTTCAGTCCCACAAGACTTCTGTTTTTTGT